TGACTTCTATAGTGTGGAAAAAATACAATGGAAACTGACGGATGTGTTTGTGCAGGTGCCTTTGACGTTATAATCGTGCAGGGGCTGTGTTTTATGGTTCACTTTGAATGGTTTTGTTGTGAATGTTGACAGAGAGCGCAGCCTGAGGAACTGGAGAAGATCAGGAAACATTACGAGACGTCTAAAGAAGACGAGGTGAAGCTCCTGGATAAACCGGAACAGTACGTCATTCACGCGCATACACTCCAGCGCACGAATGATTCAAAAAAGCAAAAATGATACAAAATGCATCATATTTTGTGAGAACGTGTGACGTGAAAGAGCAAAACCGACACTATTTTTTTTAAATCAGCAGCTCAAAATGAGTCTGAAACAAGTGTATGATGCAGAGATCATGTTCTCTACAACTAGTTATAGAAGATTAAACACGGGTTAACTGTCTAACACATGATTAGCACATGAAACCGTTTTGACTTCAAGCCATCAGTTCATGAAAACAAAGGTTTTGACACAAGATTTAAACATTATATGAGTTAATATGAGATTTAAGAGCCTCATGAAGCCGACAAACCTGGTAACTTTCACACAATGTGCTCATAAGATTTACTTTAAAGCTATTTTCACTCAGAAATCGCTAAGAAATTTCACAAATAATTACAAAGAAGCAGCAAGTAACAAGTTGAGTTAGACGTGAAATTTAAAGTTGAAAAACTTAAATAATATTTTCTTGCGAAAAGGACTATTATAGTTAACTAAAGTTAAAACCGTAAAAATATATATATATATTTAATTATAAATAAATGTTAACTGAAATATTTTTTTAAATAATTGTATTATTTTTTATTTCTTATTTTATTAATATAATAATATTATTTTTATTATACATACATCTTTTTATTATACATGCATTTTTATTATTTTATATTTTATTATTAACTATTATTTTATTTCAGCTAGTTTCCACAGCAACATTTCTCATTTGAACTTAGTTTGATTTGATGCACTTAAATTAAAACTGAAATAAAAATGACTAAAAACAACAAAAGCTAATAAAAATGACAAAAGCACGGCAAAATTACTAAAACTTTATCTAAATTTATCATGAAAGCAGAAAATATAAAAATTAAATCTAATTCAAAGTATGAACTAAACTATAGTATAGTAGTATATTAATGCTACTAAAATCATACTTCAATCATCTTTAAAGTTTTATTCTTTGCTTAACTTGGAAAAATATGTTTTTGCAGAACACCAGACATCAGTAACACAACATCAGACTTTACAACTCTAAATAAACACATTATTATTATTATTATAATAAATGCGTTGCACTGCGTGTTTGTTCTGATGAACTCTCACATGCTGCACAAACATCTGAAGCGTTCCTGTAAACCTCCTTCTTCTTCCCGCTCAGATTCCTGTACGAACTCTCCCAGATTCCCGACTTCGCTCGCCGCGCGCACTGCATCATATTCCAGTCTGTGTTCGTGGACTCCATATCGTGCGTCCATCGGAAAGTGGAGATCATCTCTGCTGTGAGCAAGGTACAGTAATGTCCAGAGAGCCGGAACGGCTTGCTTTCTTCTTCTGTAATTGTTAAGACTGGTTAGTTTTGGTTACAGTCTTGTCTTAATTTAACTTTAACTTTATCCTGCAGTATTTGCACCGACCTGGACGACATACTGCATTTTATAAATGGGAATTCTACAAGCCGTGCAACCAGGATACTATTTACCACAATGCAATGCGCTCAATTTAACTTTACATTTCCGAATCAAGTGGCAAACCAGAGACAAATTCATTTCATTTGGTCCTTTCAGGATTAAAAACGCAAGCTACATAAAAAATTATGTGCAAAACTTACACTAAATAGACATACAACGAAAAGAGGTCACGTGATGTCAATGTAACACACTACACTGTTAGAAATTGTGCAAAACACTAGATATGCCATCTTCCATATCTGTTATTTTCCTGTATCTTTCCAGAGTGTTGTATCGACCAGAAGCAACATCATACATTTTCTTGACTTATTAATTCCTTGAATTGCCAAATTTCCGAAATGCCAAATGGCATTTCTTTTAGGATTAAAAAATAATGTTCAAACCGCTCGCTATTAGTATGTGCTGTATATTCAGTATTTGAGTTTACTTTCAATTTTCAGAAATGAGTATGTACAGGCATCAACAAACGTGATTTTTAACATTATCTTGACTCATTATTTCATTTTTATTTCAAGATTAAAAATGTAAACTAAATAAAAAATTATTAAATCAGAAATAAAAAAAATAATATTTGTATTTTTTAAAAAACATTTGTATTAAAATAAAAAATATTCATAAAAAATCATATTTGTATTTGTAAAAATAAAATATATATATTAAATAAAAAATATTCATAAAAATAATATTTGTATTTGTAAAAAAAATAACATTTATATTATAATAAAAAATATTCATAAAAAATGTGTATTTGTAAAAGAAAACATTTATAATAAAATAAAAAAATTCATAAAAATAATATTTGTATTTGTAAATAAACATTTATATTAAAAAAGATATTCATAAAAATAATATCTGTATTTGTAAAAAAAAATGCATTTATATTCAAATAAAAAATATGCATAAAAAAATTTGTATTTGTAAAAAAACATTTATAATAAAATAAAATATTAAAATAAAACAAATTCATAAAAATAATATTTGTATTTGTAAAAAACATTTATATTAAAATAAAAATATCGATATATTAAAATAAAAAATATTCATAAAAATAATATTTGTATTTGTAAAAAAACATTTGTTAAAATAAAAAATATTCATAAAAATAATATTTGTATTAAAAAAAACATTTATATTAAAATAAAAAATATTCATAAAAATAATATTTATATTTGTAAAAAAAAACAGTTATACTAAAATAAAAATATTCATAAAAATAATATTTTGATTTCTGACATGATACCTGTGACACAATGCAGTTTGATGGCTGTTTCACTGTGCAGTATGCAGTACACTAGTGTTGTGTTCTGAAGTATGTAATTGTATTTTCAGGCTTTTCTTGAGAATGACAGCGTGAAGGACGTGATCGGCCTCATCTTGGCCTTCGGAAACTACATGAACGGTGGAAACCGGACCAGAGGACAGGCAGACGGGTTCGGACTGGAGATTCTGCCTAAACTAAAAGATGTCAAGAGCAGGGTATGAAAATACCACTCATAAACCATAAACCTGCTCTGAATATGTGTCTTTCAGTATTCTGAAGAGTTGACTGGGTGTGATTGGGTCACCTCAACATCTGCCAATGACCTTCTTTCCCATCAGGACAATCGGATAAGTCTGGTGGATTATGTGGTGTCGTACTACCTGCGAAACATGGACGAGGTACAGCCGGATGAGATTTAAACTCTTTTAGGGTTAGGGTTAGGGTTATCATTGTATTTGACTGTACTCTATATCATTTTATTGTACTTTTTTTTTTAACTGTGCAGGTGCACTCTGTTACTGGTAATTGTGACTTTTTATTTCTCAATTCTGAGAATTAAAAACAGAATTGCATGATATAAACATGCAATTCTGAGAAATAACGTGAGAATTGCGCGATATAAACTCGAACTTGTAAGAAAATACTAATTTTTTTTCTTCAGAATTGGAGTTTATAACTAATAACCAAAAACAATTGCAAGTTTATATCTTATAATTCTGAAAAAAGTCAGATTAAAAGTCGCAATTAAAAAATTTTTTTTATTCACTGGCGGAAATGGGTTTCCATACTTTATTTGATTTAATTTAGAAGGAAACATCTTTTTAGCTCCATTGTCCTGCAACCTCAGCCAAAAAGTGTTTTAACCTCTTAAATTGAAAGTAACGTTAATGTAATGCAATAAAAAAGCACAAC